GCTCTCGAAATTTATTCGCGCGAATAAATTCTGCTATTCTGTCTTGCTTCAGTTTAGTTTAGCCTATAGTCGACGACTTTTCCAGGGATATTTATCCACGTTGTCGAAAAGTGCAGTCATTGGTTATCATAGATTACCTTTGTGTTGTGAGTTTGTGTGCCTAATTTATTTTTTTTGAACGGAGGACGCTTTTGCTGAAGAATTTGCAGGAATATTTTCAAAATAAGCCGTATCTCCCTCTCTTTCTCAACTGGACACACGGCAGGCACAGACGATTAGTGCCTTTCAACGCGTCAGGTTGATTGGCACTTTACGACCTTAACATGATCACGTACACATTGGCGCAGCAGTGGGCTTGTTGATTGCGGTGACCGCCAAACCGAGCATGCGGTAGTTTTCATCCACATTGTACCTTCATATCGCGCGTAAACAGTGCATTTTACGAATGCTAAGACCCTCATCGATCTGATTATGGAACATCCCCGTCCCCTTTTGTCCTGGAGCTCACTATAGAGCCCTCACAGGCAGTCGAATAGTGTCTGTGATGAAGTTGAACCGACAAAGGCTAAGGAGACCAGAATAGGTATTTCTGGCTTATTAGTTCCCACCGGCCAGTCGTACTAAACTGCAGGGGTGACAATCCCCGAGATTCTACATTGAACTCCAATACAAAACCTGACGAGCATGTTCCGTAACCAGATTGGTGTGGGCCCTACCATGCACCATATTCCCAGTCTCAACCGACAAAAACAACGAGCCCGTTATGAAATGGTAGACTGTTGTCCTCAATGGCCAAAGAGTCGCGGATTCGAATCTCGGGGGTTGCCACCCCTCTGATTGGGCATGGCTGGCTGATGATGGCTAGTGAGCTAGAAATGACCATTCCATTGTACCTTGTCTTGTTAGTGTGTGTGTGTGTGTGTGTGTGTGTGTGTGACCTGGAGGGCGGGGGCTGCATAAGGTCGGCTTGCGTAACCATGATGGTGTTGCTGACGCCGCTACGACCGTTATCTGTTTTTGTTTGGTTACTTGTGCGTTTCTTTCATGTGAATGTGAATCCAAATTCAGGAATGTTTTCCGTGTCAGGCCTCATTTTTTATCGTCGCAGTCAGCGCCGGGCTGTAGTGGTTGAAGTGTAGGCCGGCACAGAGGCGCTTTAT